TTACGCAATTTATGACCATTGATAATTTTTTTCCACAAGTTTTGATGTCAACATACTTTGAGGGTGGGGGTTGGGGAGGGCTTCAGACCTGTCATTTACTTATTTGAAATCCAAACTAGTTGTTATTCGATACATATATATTCCTAAACTCATTGGTAATAAGAAATTGAGAAATGCACCCCACAATTAACACCCACAAAAACTACATTGCATAATAATTCTGTTACGGTCAATGGAACTTCATGTAGCTTTATTAAACAGTAAATTAATTTTATAAATAGCTAATAAATTGAACATAGTTGCAACATATAACTTTCAGCAAAAACGGTACGCATGCCAGCATGCCCGGATCCAACGGGGGGCTTAGGGGGGCTGAAGCCACAACCCCAAAGGAACCCTTGCCTAAAGATTTTTGTTCTATTAAAGATGGCAAATTGAGGGTATAATTGTAACAAAATACCGGCTTAAGATAAATCTTAGTCACTAAACACCTGTATATTGGAGCTTAGTCCCCTGGTAAGTTCCCTGTAAATCAAAACACTGTATGCCTCTAGGCAATTTCTCAACATGTTTTCGAAATCATGTCATGCAGACGCATTTCATAGATTACTCTTGGTCAGTGACTAGGCACAATAAGCGTCAGAGCACACGAGGGAGACAGTTGAAACTATTGACCGGTCACAGTTCGCAAACGTTGACGTTTTAGAAATTTCAGAAAACAGTAAAAAATACCAAATAATATTTAAATAAGGTATCAGGTAATATTTAAAAATATTGCGGGCAAATATGTAGGTATGGATGCCGATAACTAGTACTTAGACCGTACTGAAAAGTTTTTCATGATTAACCGTAAATTTCTGTTTCAAAAGGTACCGGTATTTTAAACAGTATTTTCAAAATTAAAAGCAAATAATATAATTATACAAAAATTTAAAGGAAAAGAAATAAAAGCAACAATTACATGTATTTAACATCAATTATATCACAAAAAGAATGCGAAATGGCTATAGTCTGTTATCCGAAAATGTGTTCGAAATCGAAGTCAAGGGAAATCACTACCGAGTTTTCGCGGTAGCGTCGATATTTGGATTTACGAACACTATTACCAATAACATGATGCATAAACTTTAATACTTGTTATCTTTTGATGTATTATTCTTGAAATTATAGTTTTTAGTAGCTTTTTTTGCTTTTTCTTTGGCTATATTTAGACAGATTATTTATAACCGGCAATTATTACTGGTTAGCGCGAGGACCTTTTAACCAGTTTTTGGAAGGCGTTTTAGCCTTTTTTATGGCAATTTTCACACTTTTAAAAACTATCTATTTACATATTTCCTTTAAAATTATATTAAAGTTAACCTTATTTAATTATCATTCAAATGTAAGTTATAGGCAGTTTAACTGATCAATTTATTGCAATTGTATATTTAGCCACGTACACCTTGTTTACAATAGCGATATCACAAATCAGTCGCCACATTTTTGTAAAATATCACGTGTTCTATGTCAAAAAAGGTACTTTTACCTATGCTGTTTTTCTTTTTAAAAATTACACTGTGAGTAAACATCAATTGTATTGAATTAAGGTATCCCTCTTTTGGGTAATTGAGGTAATCAAATAATTACCTGTAATTGGACAAAAAAACGGTTTTAACGAAAAGGTTTGTTACAAGATTTACTCTTCCATGTATCTTTTGTTTTAAAGGAGAAATCTTCACATGGAGAAATTTTTTTGTTGACGAGTTGGGGGGGGGGGGGGTAGTAACTTGGCTTGGAGAATGAGCTGGACATCAGCTATAGCAAAAAAGGGTAAAAAGGCACTGATTGTATCCATGTGGTTTCATTGTGTGATATTTTTTCGTCAAATTACTGGTTCGACGAACTTATTTTGTATAATGAAAACTTGGTTTTGAAAAAAATATATTTTACAGTGTTAAAGAACATGTACTTGAAATTGTTATAGCAAACGTAATTTATTAAGTGTGAAAGTGGTTTAGTAGGCCTTTTGTGATGTGACATTTAAATGCAACACATTTGATTAACTGGTCCGTAAAGACATCTGTGCGTGTTTTGATACTATTGCAGCTAGAATATCAAAAGTAAATATTCAATCTGTTAGTTTTAACACCTTATCTAAAACGTTTTTTTTTTATAAATCAAACAAGTTCAAAGGGAAGTGTTTTAATTGTAATAAACACTAATTTAAGTTTCTTAGGAGAGTAGTCATATAATGAACAACCACAAGAATATCAAGTTTAATTTTCCCCAGTTCACAAAAACCATATAAATGAGGGTTTCAGACGAAGAGTTTTCTATAAACATAACCTATGGAGGAGTTTCTGATATGCATATTTTTTGACTGTTATTGCATTTAATTTTCATAAACCAGACCATGATTTACAAAACAATCTTCTGATTTGTTTGGGTGATTTCTGACTTAGACGTGTTTTATTTATCTGTTACAAGTATTCTTGAAACTTCTTTGTGAAGAAGGAAATTTAACTTTATATGATTTTTTGTCTCGTCTGCTTGATGTGATCTCGACTTAGTCGTACTTTTTGGCGTATAGTTAGACGTATTTCTGTCTGTGCGGGCGTCCAGCCGTGCATCCGTCCGAATTTGATCAGTTTATATCTTGCTCATTCTTTGGAGGATTACAAAATAATTTGAAACAAATGTTGACAAAGATAGGTTGGTGTGTCCGCGCTAAAAAGTCAAGCTCAGTCACTTTTGGATAGGCACAAAACCCTTGGCCGGACTGTAACTTGTACATGCGTGCTGGGATTTTAACATACAACGGGACAAATCTCTTCAAAGTGAGACGGAGTGCGCGCGACAAATGCAAGTGTTAAGGTCAAAACGTCAGCAACACAATAAAAGATTCATTTCTGAGTATAATTACTCTGTACTTCAGTTTTTTCCCATTTGTTAATAATGATACTTTATTTTTGTCTGGGCCATTTCTCCTAAATTATAAAAGCTATGGACTTGAAACTTCATAGAATGAAAGATATTAATGTGCAGTGTACAAGAACCGGTACTCTGTACTTCATGATTTTTGAGTTGCCTTTTGTTAATTTTCGTACTTTTCAAGTCCGGGCCATATCACTTAAACAATACAAGCTAATGACTGAAAACTTCATAGGATGATATATCTCATTAAGAAAAGATACATTGCACAAGCACTTGTACTCTTTTTAGTTATTGACCTTTGTTAATTTCATATTTTTTTGGTCTGGGCCAAAGTGCAGTGCACAAGAACAGGGACCCTGCACTTCTCAACTTTTTTAGTTATTGCCCTTTGTTAAAGTGCAGTGTTAAAGTAACCGGTACTCTATTCTTGATAATTTTTAAGTTATTGCCCTTCGTTAATTTTCTTACTTTACTTTTGTCTGGGCCTTTTCTCCTCAACTATAAAAGCTATGGACTTTAAACTTCACAGAATGATAGATCTTCGTAAAAAGAGGTGCAGTGCATCCGAGAACCGGTACTCTGCACTTAATAACTTTTGAGTTATTGCCCTTTGTTAATTTTCTTATTACTTAATTGGCTTGTCCATAGCATAACTTTATCACTATATGTTTGATTAACTACAAGTTTGGTATGTAAGATTTTTTCATTGACCTGAAGTGCAGTGCTTAAAAATCCATCACACAGTCCTGCATTTGATCTGTCAGTGTAAAATGTTTTCATGGTATTTTTATTCTTGATAATATAACACTTTCATTAATCCTGATGTTTAATTGTAACAATCAATTCAAATGCCAGTAAATTCAATGTACATGTATGTTGTAAGAGCGGTATTTATAAATAATCTATATTTAAAAAGAAAAAGCCTAAGTGAAGCAATACTGATCACAAGGCGACACATTGGACTACCGGCGTTCTAGTTGTTAATTAACCCTTAATCTCATTATTTGAGATGATTCATAAATGTTAAGGACAATTTTAAATGGTAGAGACATTTTCCACAATCCTGGTGTGCAAAAATTTCCCGGTGGCTGTTAAAAATAAAAAGGTGTTCATATAACATTCATAAATGTTCATTTTAGTCATCAACATCGCTCATTTTGCAAAAAAAAATAATTCTCTTAAACATTTTGATCTTCCAATGGAATAGATCAAAAATGTTAGGCAATCATAGATAATTTTATTTTTACACTCACTATAAGTCGGGACAAACAATTCTACCAGCTATAAAAGACATTGCTTATGTCGTAGACAAAATACTACTTGTCAGGAAATACCATGGCGTAAAATATATGTTGTTATATTTAATTGTGTAATATAGCACGTTAATAACCAGAATATGTAAAAAGTAAAAAAAAATGAATATAAGGCTCTAGCAATTAAGCAGTTAAGCTGGAGAGAGATCCCATAACACGCTTTGACGTCTCCCAATACCCGGTCATAAGTGAGGCCTGCGCACAGCGCAACATGACACCCGCAAAACTTTAAATAACATTTAACATAAAATAAAAATATGACAAATGGAACGTAAAAAACAATACTTGTGATGATATAAACCTTCATTGTTTTTCCCAGTTTGATACATGTTCATATAGTGACGACTAAATAATAATAACATTTCTTCTAACAAATGGAACGTAACAGTACATACAAGAATGCTATTTTAGTGCTATGTTACACCCGATAATATGGTTACTTAAAAATACATTATAGAAATACATGCCATGCAAACAAAAATATTTTTTATAAAAATATATACATTGACATACTTTCCCTTATAATTAAGACATAAATATCACTTCTGTGTAGATGCATGTGTCAGATGACCTAAAAACCAAAAATGGTTTCAGGATGCTATGTGTGTTGTTATCGGCCCGCGAAAATGTAGCGGTTTATAACCGTGACGTACTTTTTGCAGTGACAATGAATATCGTTTTGATATATCATAGAAAATGACCAAGACATAAGCTATGATTTAATACATATAGTTTTCTTAGCAAATCCGTACTTTATTGTTTGTTTTATAGTTCATGGCGGATGGAGTGATTGGTCATCTTGGGGTACCTGTTCAGTGACATGTGATATGGGACTGCAGCTTCGCACAAGGACCTGCTCTAATCCGCCACCAAGTCTTGCTGGAAAACCTTGTTTCGGAGAAAACACCGATTCACAACTTTGCATGCCTGTACCATGTGCAAGTGAGTATTGATTGACATTATTACGTTTTTTAGTTCAAAAGGTTTTCAATTGTGGTAGAATTATTGTGGCCGAGTGGTTAAGGTCGCTGACTTGAGATCACAGGTCCCTCACCGCTGCAGGTTCGATCCTCACTCGGGTCGAAATCTTATATGTAAGGAAGCCATCCAGCTGGCTTACGAAAGGTCGGTGGTTCTACCCAGGTGCCCGCCTGTGCCTGAAGTAATGCTCGGAGGGGCACCTGGGGTCTTCCTCCACCAATAAAAAATGGCAAAAAATCGACGAAAAATCTCGGCGGGACGCTCTAGGATGGCCCGACTTGAGTGTACGGTCGCCCATATGGGCTTTCCGGCGGCGACCTTAAATAAACGCATTAAAAAAAAATATTGTTCATATCAAGTTGTAGTCAATGTAACACAAAATTATTTCATAAAAGACATTCAGTTACTACGTCAAGGTTCTGATTCTTCTTCTGCTTTCACTTGAAGAAGAATGCGTTGTCTATGGCCCTGTGTTGGGGCGAATTAATAGAGACCTTCTTCAACAGTATAAATAAGACCTTTAATATTCAGCACATTTCTAATTTGAGTACTTTTTTTACTACATCAACAGTTAAGAAAGGTAAAAATTTGAAAACTTAATTCAAAAATATATTAACAGCCGTTTCAAAGATGAGTTTAGTTTTATAATACTCGAAATAAAATGAATTTGTCCAAGAATTAATAAAATTGATCAAGTGCAAAAGAAATGTTAAAAAATATTCCTTGAATTTATCGAAAATAATAGATTTATGTTTCAATGCTATAACCGAGACCAGGCTAAATGAAAATGCGAACAATTCATTGTTTCCGTTCATTTTCTCACTTTTTCCTCGTGACATACGAATATAAATAAAGAAGTAGCAAACTGACTGGCAAAACAATTTTATGAGAAATAGTGTAAATAACCCGTTCAAATGAATATTTTATGCATAATTAAGATCACCGATACTAGATATTTAAATGATTTAGATCTATGATTTTTTTTACAGACGGTGGTTGGAGTGATTGGACTTCATGGACTTCATGCAGTGCGACTTGTGGCGGGGGAATTAGGTCTCAAACGAGATCATGCTCGAATCCCTTCCCATCACCATACGGACAATATTGTATAGGATCAACTGACAGAGTGGAGTCATGTGCTTATAATAACTGCGGTATGACATTTGACTGAGATAGATAACAAGCAAATAGGACGTTTCGGTCCCAAACCGAATCGGCCCTTATTTAAAAATCATTTTTTACTGATATACTACGAAATTGTTGACATACATCATGTTTATACTTAATTGAACTAATATAAATTTGGGCCGACATGTCACGGGCCGAAACGTCTTGGAGTCAAAATGACTGAAAATCACGATAACATTGCAATCGACATGTAATTACATTGAAAATCAAATATGATATTTAAGAAGGAATCGCGATCACAACAAATTTCGTGACTTTCACGAGTATAATTATTATACTGTTTAGCGTAGTTAAAATAGCAACACAAAACCATAATATTACTATGTCTACCATGATTGCAATTATAAATGTCCATAGAAATATATGGAATATTCAGCTGGCCATTTTGTTGATTACTTTTTCTTTAAAGTTGATGATTGATATTTTGTCTATTCAACTGTTTGTCGACGTCACAACATTAAGTTATTTTGCAATGAAGAAAAGTCTTCGTTGTAAATCTTTTCAGTTTTCGAGACGTAAGCCTAATATACTTATATCAAGTAATATTAGAAAGTATAATTACTTAATCAAACAGCTCATCAGAAAGCGTTGCTTATTTCTAAGATATACACTACCTTTAATATCCCTTATACCTTTTCATTAAGGGATTATAAGACTAAATAGAAACAAAACCGCAAGCCTCCAAAATAAAGCTGTAAAAGGCCTCCAACAGTTGTAAATTTTATTACTTTGAACTTGATTGACTACCTATCTTCCTGCAAAAATAGAAACACTTTCTATCGATAAGATGGACACAATTCCCTAATTCGTGTATACATGTATAATATTTGAACATGTTACCAAAACGTTTAATAATATGAGGCATTTATTCAATTGCCGATTTGATTTCGACGTTTGTTAGTTGACCATTACCTCAGAGAATGCAAATAAAGGGGGCGGTTGCCTAGTGGTTAAAGTGTCTGCCTCTCAACCCAGGGATCAGGGGTTCGAGCCATAATCGGGTCACGACCATGTTTCTTCGTATGACACCAATACTGGTTGGTTCAAGGGAAAGGTTTTGGAAGTGATTATAAGAACTTGTTTCACTCAACTAAACTAAACTTATGTACGCAAATAACTTCTTGCCCAGCTTTCATTTGGGATCCGTCAATTTAGACTTTGGAATTGTCAAGATAGAAAATTTATGTTAGTAAGCCAGGAGCTTAGTCAGACTGCTCTATACTTGTGACAAAGGCAAATCATTTTTTGATTTATTTTTGTACATTAAACTTGTGTTACTGTTTCTTTGGAAAGGATTATGCCAATTGAATACATCAAATTTTTTTTAGTAAAATATTTCAAAGGGTGTTCATCAATTTCATATTTTGCTTTTATGATTGTGTTTATTTCTTTTTACAGAGACGAATCATTGTTCGACCAGTCCATGTGTACACGGTCAATGTTATGACGTGTCTCATGATTTTCTTTGTTACTGTGACCATGGTTATGAGGGACGTTATTGTAATATATGTATGTAGTTAAATTAAAACATGATTTTCTTTGTTACTGTAACCATGGTTATGAGGGACGTTACTGTAATATATGTATGTAGTTAAATTAAAACATGATTTTCTTTGTTACTGTAACCATGGTTATGAGGGACGTTACTGTAATATATGTATGTAGTCAAATTAAAACATGATTTTCTTTGTTACTGTAACAATGGTTATGAGGGACGATACTGTAATATATGTATGCAGTCAAATTAAAACATGATTTTCTTTGTTACTGTAACAATGGTTATGAGGTACGGTACTGTAATATATGTATAACATGATTTTCTTTGTTACTGTAACCATGGTTATGAGGGACGATACTGTAATAAAGGTATGTAGTCAAATTAAATCATGATTTTCTTTGTTACTGTAACCATGTTTATGAGGGACGTTACTGTAATATATGTATGTAGTCAAATTAAATCATGATTTTCTTTGTTACTGTAACCATGGTTATTAGGGACGTTACTGTAATATATGTACATAGTCAAATTAAAGTATTAAGATGTTCTTTGCTATGCTCATCTTTGAATAAACTATTTTTATTTCAGAAATTTATTGAAATTTATAAAATTCTTTCTGAATATGCCTTATTTAAACAAAAGAGCATTCAAACTATGTTTTGGAATATACGTTCCTAATTACGGGTGAAGTAAAGTTGGTCCTTTCTTAAAAGAAATGTGATTGTTTAATTTTTTTTTATTTATATATTCAAGTGTGCCCACTTACAGTGTGTAGGATTTAACGAATAACATATTTACCTTGTGTGAGGTCAAATCATGTTCATTTTATATGTACAGAAAGACTGTGTGGCAATTATCAATATATTCGGATATGAAATTTGAGCATAGTATATCTTTAAGTTTTGAATATTTCCCTAGCATTATAACCCTAAATTGTTTTGTTAAAGTTCTTATGTTTTTAACTGTTTTGCAGTGTTTTAATATGTTATTCTATTAAACCTTTCTTTAATTGTTTATAATGAACCGAGTTATACAACAATGATTTTGTAGCAACAGTGGGTGAATCCATTGAAAACACAATGTTATATAATAAACTTTATAGTCGTTTATTATTAAATATATAAGTACAGCAAAGATGTGTAGATACTTAATAGTATTATAAATCTAAGACTAAAATTTGAGGCATGATTACTTTAATCCCATTAATTATTTTATGGGTACTCTATTATTCATTCTTTGTTTTAGCGGATTATTACTGCAAGACAAATCCGTGCGATCATGGGAGCTGTGTATCTGGTATTTCCGACTACAAATGTAACTGTTTTGAAGGATATGTTGGAAGAAACTGTGACATTCGTAAGTCTTTTTTAGGACAGTTGAAAGGAAATTAAATGTGTACTTGGCTACTAAACAAACGTTATTGAATTTCGTCCAGTTTTAAAAGTAAAAAGCAAGATGTATATAAAGATCTCCTTTTGTTAATTGTTGGTACACGTCCATTCAGAGAAAAATTACTTCACATTCCACTGGTGCTCTTGTCAGTTTGCTTGTGTGCTTTTAAATACTTTGATAAAAAACACCCACAAAAAACAACAACAACAACATAAACTGTGACTTCAATCGTAAGATATTTTATTAGAAGATTGATGAGAAATAAAATTTGAACCTGCTTACTAAACACAATTTACTGAATTCCGTCTATTTTTAATACATTTTAATACTATTTGAATTGTAAAATAAAAAGGGGTGTATAACTCATTTCGTTGGTTGTTGGTAGAACAGAGATAAGATTTTACTTCATATAACACTGATTCTTTTGTTGAGCTTTGATTTGAAGTTCACTTTTATACATTGTAGCTGCAAGTTACTGACACGAATGTAAAAAATAACCTTACATTGTAGGAAATATTACGGATTGTTTCGATATTCTTCATAAAAACATTTCGAGTAAAAGTGGAGTATATAACGTTTTCCTATGGAAATCTAAAGTTGTGAAAGAAATATACTGCGACATGGAGACAGACAAGGGTGGTTGGACGGTATGTTGCTTTTTAAATATCAACTATTTGATGTTTCAAAAATTCGAAATGGACATTTAAGAATTAGCGGCAAGTAAATGTTTCAATTTAACTCTTAAATCGTAAATAATGGTATTTCTTTGACAAATTAGTTTTATTAATTGCAGTGTTACTCGAGTGCTTTATCTTATCAAAGTGCTGAAGGCACTGCAATTAGGACGTACTAGAAGTAGGTGCGTCAAAAGATCAAAATTACCATTTTTTTACTATTTCGGGGGCAGATACTTCAATGAGTGAAGGGTGTTGCCGGTTGATAGATATTAAGTGCACAATTTAGTAAATGAATAGTAGTAGAATCAATTATTCCATGACATCATGTTCAAATATAATATTTAGGTTACATGTAGGTCAATCACAAACTGTAATTGGCCCTTTCTGATAAGAGCAACAACTGAAATAAGTGCTGCCAGAGGAAACTGCACCCTCGACTATTTTTAAAACATGACATATGAAAGGGAAGCAAAACTATGAAACAAGAGGGTCAAAATAGCCCTCGATCGCTTCCCTGATCCATCGACCTTATCCGACCAAAGTCGTAGACAAGCATCCTGACCAAATTTGAAAACAAGGTTTCCCATAGTTTGGCAGTGTGACGTAGTTTTGACCCCAGGTAACCCATATTCGAATTTGATCTAGAAATCATCAAAACAACCTTACTGGCAATTTTCCAGGATATTTGGATCAAACCTGTAGCTACTAGAGTGTTAACAAGCTTTTCTTATTTTTAGCTCCTGTGATCTAGTATTTGACCAGAGATGACCCATATTCAAACTTGACCTGTATTTCATTGAGACAAACATTCTGACAAAGTTTGATTATGATCCAACCAAAAACGTCACTGCTAGAGTGTTAACAACTCAAATTTTGACGACGCACGACAATGGACGCCGGACATAGCCCCATCACTAAACATCACCTTGACCACTTAAAAGCTAAAAATAATCAATTATGATATAAATATATTTCTTTTTCAGTATCAAGAAAACACTCAAATGGTCAATTTATGCATGATACTTTATTAATGTGGCCATATTATTAAAACTGATGATGGCTTTTGCACACTGCACTTCTTATGCATATCTCTTTCACTGTGTGAAATGAAATTCCTTCAATATTTTAATCCTCTCTCTTTCTGAACAAGTATCGTGAAATAATATAAAGGGGGGTAATTCAAAGACTAAGTAATGTAGAATATAGGTTATTTGACTTAGCACTTCTACTCACTAGTCTCTACAATTGTGTTTAGGTTGAATGAGATATCATTGAAAGTTAAAAATATATACTCCAGACAACCATTATAAGAGATGATAATTGTATAATTAAGCTAGAAAAAATTGTGGTTCTTTGAAACTACCCTTCTTTTCACTTGAATGTTGTGTTTAAACGCTGTGTAAAATTTAAATCAAATTCCGTCGACTCTTTTAAAGTTTTTCTTGGGACAAGCATTAATAAATACATGTATAATAAATGGAGATAATTTAAAAACTAAGCAATGTATCTTTGTTACAAATTCGGGTGTGTAGTTTCAGTGATAATTTGGAAGTAAAACTCCAAATAAGCATTTTTAACTTAAGGGAGATAATTAAAATATTAAGCATTGAGTTATGTTTCTTGAACACTGCACTTCCTCTCAAAAGTCTCTATCACTTTGTGAAGTTAACATGAAATCCCTTCAATACGTTTTTAGTTATATTCGGGACAAGAGTGTGAAGGACAGGCGTCATTCCTAAATTGACATTTATGTTTTTTCTTTCTTAAATCATCTAAAATCTCAAAAACACCATAAGAAACATATTTTCCTCCAATGAGCAACAAGTCTGTATGGAATGAACACGGATATTTATCCATAATATTACTTGAGTCCATAGAGACAAGTGGTTAAGGCAGCAACTGTATTATCTCCCTTTTGGGACCATAATTTATAATAAATCTCCAAATGGTTCTATATAAGATACAAGTATGATGAACCTTGCTTTTGCTTTTGAGTAATATCAGAATTCAGATTTCACTGACATACAGAAAGGGGTCAACCTTTAGTCCCCTCTAGATGAAACCGTATATTAGCTCCGAATGTATGTCATTGTTCAACATTACACAATATTTTAATAAATTGGATTGTTCAGTCATATGTTACCCAAGTCCTATGCAGGAGCATTAATTCATCAAAATATCACCATTAATTAAGTTATTACTGCTGGGTTAGTGTGATGGCTTTGTTTGAAGCCGAAACAGCTAGATTCAACATGATCTTGGCTCGCCATATACTACTGACAGGGGATTCAAATGAAGAGCTTACTAGGACTTCCCTGTAAAATATTCCACAACAAGTCCCAAGTGTTCATGGTTGAACAATTATTGAGCCTATGCAGTTATGATCACACTTTTCTGTACTACATCTGCAAACTGGAGATTCCCACAGACTGTGATGCTAATCTACATTTGTATGAGAGTGACGAATATGTGCATGACCACCTTAAAAATGTGCATTAACAATTATGTGAAGTTCAATAGTTTGCAAAAAATGCTTATCTTATTTTTCTCCACTTACATTTATAATGCAGAGCACTAGATTTCTGTGTCTGTCATACAAAATGACTTTCAATAACACTATTTAAATATATTCAATATACAATTTCTTTAATAAATACTCATAGTAATACTAAATTACTATTTTGTGATATTTTTTCACATAGCTTCAGAAAGCATACAATGTATTTGTTCAGACTGAATACAATTTTTAATAACCAATAGGGTACCATTATTAAGCCTAATAAAATCAAAACTACAAGGTTAAAGAATGTTTAAAAGATTATCCCTGCAAACTTTAAAAACAGCCTGTCAAGTTAGCAAATCTTAGCAATTGAGGCACACTAAGCAGAAAATATGGTCAATCAAGGGTAGGGAAACATTTTTACACATATTTAAATCATTTTGTGAAGAAACAATCACTTCACATCTGTGCTTTACTATTGAATGTTATCATTTGTTTAAATTTTGAATAATCAAAATGTAAACAATGTTCATAAGGATGATCTGTATTGTAAATTTTGCAGGCATATTGAGAAACAAAACTATGTTGTAAATTTTGCAGTTTCTTGTAATGCCCTGTATTATTGATTTGTACCACCTTAAAACACAATACGATAATATTATATGTAAGTGATCATATTCAGCAAAGGAAAATGACTGCTTTGCCAAGTGACAGAAATATTTGAAGCATGTTCTTAACTAACACTATAATAAACTTTGGGCATGTACTGACACTCTTTTGTTGTAGGCTTTACTTTATATGAACAAGTCTTGGGCTCCTGGGCTCCTTGTCACTGACGCTTGTTACTGGGTCGGGTGAGGTTGCGTTCATTGAATGCCGCCTTTCTGTTACGAGCCAGGCGTAACGAGAAAGAAAAGCCAGCAACAAACTTGTAACAATAACAAATTTATTACAGAAAAATTATTAAAGAAAAATAAAATAACAAATTACGTCTACAAATACCTGAAGTCCAAATAAAAATGAAAATTACAAATGTCTAGTCTGATCCTTGAATGATCCTTTTGAATAGCACAGTTAAATCCAAGTTAAATCCAAGAACACTTTAGAATAAATTCCCACAATAAAATCCACAAGAATAATTTATTTTAAAATCCAAGCTCTAATAATTCACTTAATATCCAAGTTGAATAATACTCCAAATATATTAATTTCTTAAAAGGTAACTGATGACTTAATAGATCACTGATGACTTAAAAGGTAAAGGCAATGAAAAATGTCACTTTATATATATTAGGCTAAGAAGTTTCTAGAATAGTCTTTCATTTTCTATAATAATCATAATCTAGCAACTTCAACAATAAAGATCATACAACAGTTAAGAAAGTTCTAGTACATACATGTAGTTTATGTTCTAAAAATAGAACAATGATAATATTGGAAATACCAACTGGTCAGATATAAATTATATACATGTAATATGTTGCATACATAACACTTCCCCTCTTCAAGAAAAAGAAATATGAATGAAATGAATATTTCTTTTACATAAATCCAAACAATGTAACTTATGAATAACGTAGGAGAAATGTTAAACAATTTTATACATAAAATCATATATATGTGTATTATAAACAATAGCAAACAACAACAAAAAAATTATCAATCATATCATATAGATATTAAATTTAAAATACTGAAAATAACAGTTTTAGACACGTGAAAGTGCATCAGGGATCAAATTATCTTTCCCTTTAATGTGTCTAATGTCAAGACTATATTCTTGCAAAAACAAGCTCCACCTCAACAACCTTTGATTTTTGTTTTTAAGTTTATGCAAGAAAGTGAGGGGATTGTGATCACTAAAGACAACAACAGGCAACTTTGAAGAAGTTAGATAAACTTCAAAATGCTGAATAGCAAGAATAAGAGCAAGACACTCTTTCTCTATTGTAGAGTAATTTTTCTGATGTTCATTAAACTTTTTAGAAAAGTAACAAACGGGATGGTCAACACCATTGTTGTCTTCTTGGATCAATACACTTCCAGCACCTATGTCACTAGCATCTACAGCTAACTTAAAGTTTTTATTAAAATCTGGTGCCAAGAGAACTGGTGCACTCTTAAGTATGGCTTTAAGGCTGTCAAATGCCATTTGACACTTGTCATTCCAAATGAATTTGTTTCTTTTCTTTAGCAAATTTGTCAATGGTTCTGCAATAACCGAAAAATTATTACAAAATTTACGATAATACCCTGCCATACCAAGAAAACGCATCAGTTGTCTTTTACAAGTAGGCACAGGAAATTCAGAGATAGCTTTGACCTTAGCTTCTATTGGTTTAACTTTACCCTGTCCCACTACATGTCCTAAAAATGTTAAAATTGCATGACAAAATTCACTTTTTGCAAGATTAACTGTCAATTTAGCATCACTAAGTCGGTCGAAGAATGCTCTTATAGTTTTGAGATGTTCCTCCCATTCATCAGAGTAGATGATTGCGTCATCAATGTATGCGTCACATCCGTGTAGACCAGATATTACCATGTTTATAAGTCTCTGAAAAGTTGCTGGTGAGTTTTTCATACCAAAGGGCATGACTTTATATTGATATAAGCCGTCTGGTGTTACAAAGGCTGATATTTCTTTAGCTCTATCAGTAAGTGGAACTTGCCAGAATCCTTTTAGAAGATCAAACTTTGTTACATACTTTGCTTTTCCAATTTTGTCAATACAGTCATCAATTCTTGGTATAGGAAATGAATCAGTTTTTGTTACAGAGTTCACTTTACGATAATCTGTACACATTCTATATGTTCCATTTGATTTCGGTACAAGAATACATGGAGAGCTGTAATTGCTTTGACTTGGTTCAATAAAGTCATTATCCAATAAATACTGAACTTCTTGTCTTAGGTACTTTTGTTTTACAGGATTTGTTCGATATGGATGTTGTTTTATTGGTTCAGAGTTTTCAAGAATGACGTCATGATGTATTTTATCAGTCCGTGTGGGAATATCAGGAAATAAATGTTCATATTCATAAATAAGCTGTTTCAGTTCATCTCGTTTTGACGGTTCTAAGTGAGCAAGTTTTTCATCCAGATTTTTCAGAATATCAGAGTTTTCAATATATTAGGCTAAGAAGTTTCTAGAATAGTCTTTCATTTTCTATAATAATCATAATCTAGCAACTTCAACAATAAAGATCATACAACAGTTAAGAAAGTTCTAGTACATACATGTAGTTTATGTTCTAAAAATAGAACAATGATAATATTGGAAATACCAACTGGTCAGATATAAATTATATACATGTAATATGTTGCATACATAACATTTCCTTGTCGATCTTGTATATCATATTTTTTGGACTATTTCAGTATGTAAATTTGAAACGCAAACTAAACATTTTCAGTTTCAAGCCTTTTGGGAAAAAATTCCAAGCACTGTTTGGGAAATCCTGCATCTTAAAATCGCTTGATTGGGAAAAAGTATTCGGTACCAGTAGAGTATTTTGTAGTATGCAAAGTTGATTAATCCAACAAATTGTATATCGTTTAAAGCATAAAAAAGACATAAAAATTTGACAATGAAATGTGTTTTTGAACATCAGGTGTCTGATACCATAATCGGATTGGAATGGAATCGAGCAAAATTGTCATCTTTGATAACGTGAATTTCATCTCAATTATTTTTTTTTTTCAAAAAATTATGAAAAAATAAGCATATTTGTCACTGGGAATGGGTCTGGTAATCTGGCTCGTGGTGACACTGGTAAAAAGGCATGTGTTTGCATGAATCATTTTTGGAGAACAGTTTGATTTATTATAACAAGAACCTGTTGTTTGTGATAATCTTCTTGTCTTTCTTAAATCGTATACTTTTTCAATCTGCAAAACTTTCCAGGTGAATATTGAAGTAAATGATCTTTTATTTCCCTGAAAATATCAATTAGAAGATTTCATCTTCAAAATTATCTAATACTACTGTTAAATTTATTTATTTATAGCACTCATTTCTTTCTAAGCGTAACCTTTCACATATACTGTTATTTCATTTGTATGTCGAGACAAGTTATACTTAAACAATTTGTTCTTAATGTTGATACATAATGAAAGACGAAGTGTAATGCAATACTGCGTACATTCAAACAAAATGATTTTAGAATGTTCCAAACCGGTCAAAATTTACATCATTAGTATTACAGAATGTTTTGTAAGTTCGATTGTGTTGAAAGCTTTATGCTTAAAGGGCATTCACTTGAATATGTTCCTGGCAGCAATCAGTAATGATAGATTAATTCTGGTTCAAAGAAAGAACGAACTGCACCAGGCGGGGTTTGAACCAACGCGGTTAATCAGCATTTGAATAATTCCTCTGCGCCACATGTATAATATTATAAAATGTCTCGTTTATATCGATATTAAAACTTTCATATACTTCAACAAATGTAATGAATATGCATATAGATGGTGTTGTTAAGACATTCATTAGAGCGATGACGTTCCGCTTTGAAGTTGTCATTTTTGTAATTTTGTAATAGTTTCTGGTACAATACTATTATTGCATGTAAAATGATTAATTATTCCATCAGGTTTTTCAATATCGATTCAACGGCAGCGTTGATTTCTATAGAAACTTTAGTGATTATGAGAGAGGATTTGGGTCTTTAGACGGTGAATTTTGGTTAGGTGAGTGGTATCTAAGTACATGTTGATTTATTTGGCATACTATTGTTTGCATTACTTTCTGAAGATTATAATATATGGAAGGGAGTATCCAGCAACCCGTTTTTCGTTAATTAAGTTATTTTATAAAAGTTTGTACGCAAACATGCTTATTAGTATAAGACTGTTTTTAAATGAAAAAGGAATAATATGATAACATTCTTATTTTAACAACATCTTACTTTTACATGCTTTTGTCATGATCTTTGTTTTATTTTATGACTTTTGAATGTGCAGTTTATTTCCCAAAATGAAATTTACAATATAATTGTGCTCTGCCAGACTTGTGTTATTGTCATAAATAAATTTTACTCACAAAGAGACATGAAATCGTCATTCTCAATGTAAAGTAAACGTTATAACCATATCTTCTTTATTATAATGTTGCTGTTATCATAATGTAAAACCGGGAACCAATGTATATAAACATTTCATTCTTAGGACAGAGGTCGCTCAGTGTTGCCGTTTAAAATGATTGCATCCGCTTGAGCGGCATCGTTGCTTATGTATAAAGTCAACCGTCAATAAGTTCGTATCATACTTAGAAAGTAAGAATGCAAACTGTCTCAAATGAAGAATACATACATGTGTATACCTCAGTTTGTTAAAAAACCAGTATTGAAGGTACATTGTACATTTGTATATATGCACCCAAGATGGACAGACATTATCAGTACATATACACAAGACTGTTAGATAGCATTTCTATTCCCATATATAAAATTTAAAATGTGATATATTTATTTAGTAAATATAGGATACTTCCTTAATCTATCAGTATAATAACGATACAACAAAAGATGACCTTACAAACATCTAAATGTTTAAAGAATACTTGTATTAAGCATTCTCTTAGTCACACACGTATAAAGCTTGCATTTTATCAGATTTTTCTGAGAAAGAAACTTTCTTAATTCAGGCCTTGAAAACATCTATGAAATGGTTTCCCGAGGAAAAACAGAGTTGAGGCTGGATTTGACGGCAGCTGACGGAACAACTGTATACGAAACATTTCAGAATTTTACACTCGGTGAAAAGCCGTATTATACTCTTCATATCGACCAGGGAGTCGGAACTGCAGGTATTTATTGTCATCGTCGATTTTAAATTTAAATGGTTGTTTACAAAATATACAAAGATAGTTGAAGCTGTACAATGGCAGAGCCATTTTATAACACCGTTAACATTAAAAAGAAAATAATAATGTCAAGATTAGCAAAATGTGGTAATCTGACTTACATTTTTGTTTTGTTTTAAAAAACAGGCGATATCAATGGTTTATCATATAACAATGGTAGCAATTTTTCAACTTTCGACATGGATCGTGATGGAAACAGTAATAGAAATTGCGCTATAGACGACCATGGCGGATGGTGGTATGGTGGTTGTGCTCACGCAAATTTAAACGGTGAATATGTTACTCCTGGTACACAACGACCTGGCAGGTCTGAAGGTGGGATGATATACTACTCATTCAAAGGCATCGAATCACTTAAAGTCTCCAAAATGATGTTCCGGCGGGTATAAATTAATCCTGGTCTGATTTAGTGAGAAAAAAGACATTACTATTATTTTCAAACTTGTGATTGTTTCTATGTAAATGATATTTTAAGGATGACTTGAAGGCAATACTTTTAAACATGTCTCTGAAAATACTAACACAAAATTAGCGAATAACTTGACATGCAAAAAACAAAACAAACAAAACAAAACAAACAGAAAATAAAACAGGGGAGATATATTAACTTGTTGTTAAACTTTTTAAATTTTATTGAAATCAAAAGCGCTTGGATATTGGTGTGTCAAATTGGGTTCTTTCAAAAGAGCAAAAACGAAGCAAAATGCTTTAACATGCTGGTGAAAATACCTGATCGGGCTTATGACATAAAAATCACATGTCATGAAAAAAATATATTTATTTTAAATTTTGTTAATTGAACATAATATATAGAACAATATTTGGTTACTGTCACTTTTATGCGAATTATTTCCCTTTTTCATGTTTATATAACAAATAATTGTTGAAGTCCTATAGAAATATGTTATATATACACAGTACATTTCTAGAAAACAAAATTGGTTAAATAACTTTTTTATGCTCCAATTTATTGCGCCGACACCTGTCAGCATATATTTCATTCAGTTTTCAAAGAAAACTTCGAAATATAATGTTCACTGATCAGTGACAAAGAACTGTTAAAGTATGTATGCCAGAAACAGAATATTAAATCCAAATACATAATTTCTGTTAAGAATTTTACATTACAATATATATTTTTAAGGACTTAAGAAATTATGTGTTATATAAGCACGAAAAAGGGGAAATCACATTCACAAAACTGACAGTAACTAAGTTTTTTTAGTCATTTAGACTGAGTATACATTTTAAAGGACTTTTCAAGAAAAATATGCACAATTTCTTTCAGGATTCTTTTATAAGCCGCTTAAAGACGCTTTAATGCGGCTAAACTGAACGTCAAATTTGACACAAAATTGACAGTTTTCCTTTCATTTTTCAAACATTTTTCGGCGTAAAACAATCGATTTTAAATCAGCTTACTTAAGGGAAAAAGTTATCTCCGTCGAATGCTGTAGAATTTAAGATATTTTGTCAGCATATGACGTTGTAATACTCGTAACAGTTGCCAAGAATACGCAACGACGTCATGTTTAAAAACGGCGTTTGATGGTCAGCTTTGACGACGTGTGTACAAAAATTGGATGAAACTTTCGAAACAAAATCAACAGAATCTAATCAGAAAAAGTGTCAATGTTTAACTTGCAAATTTTTGAAGACACTACTCAAAAGTTCGCAAAGTGTCGCATTCTACCATAAAGCATGCTAGATGTTTTTTTTATTCATTCGGAATAAAATAAAAATAATGTAAAAAATATAAACGTCCATACAACTAAAATTATATCAGTTGCGCATAAAAAAAGAAAAAGAGAGAAAAAACTTTCATGAAAACTATAAATTAAATTTTTAATTGTTCATGTGTCAAATAGGCATTATGTATAAAGTCAAATTTGATAGAGAATCGATATGTTATGTCTAATACCAAACTTAACAAAATGTATCTAATTTGTAAGTTTTTGTTTGTTTGTTTTGATTTTTATGTTGCAACAACATTGTGAAAGTCAATTTAACGATTATCCAGCTATAGTAGAGGAGAAAGATCTCATGGGCTCCACCGTGCATAAATTCAGACACAAACATTAGTAGAACCACCGACGTTCTATAAGCTTGCTGGAAAGTATGCTGACAAGAATCCAACATCGCTGGTGGGCTTCGAATCCACCTCGGTTTGAAGTTTTCGACCATAACCACCCGGCAACGGATGCAGTATTTTGATATATATAATTAATTGTTTATGAGTATTAACTGAATTACAAAAAGGGAAATGTTGTCTTTAAATCTGTATTCTAGAATATATCAACATATTTCAAAGAAAAAAAGATAAATAAATGAATAAAAAAATCAACTGTTGCACAAAGTTTACTAATCTTCAAGTCTAACCCCATCTTTATCAAGGGGTTAGCTATTTATTTTATGAACCACACAATTAAAAAGACGATTAACGTGTGACTCTTTGAATACAACAAACACAGTGGTAAAGAAGGGTTAAAATATAATTAATCCTCGAAACATCGGATGTTTATTGAATTTGTAAAAGAGGTGGTTGTTTATAAGTTTTTTTTTTCGGAGTGGTTAAATCAATAACAAAATAAACAAACAAAACTTCATTTTCCAGTTTTACAGTGGATATATGTTCATGCATAATTAAAATACTAATTTAGTTCCGCCCATTGTTTTCTCGTTTAGGGCACACGCATTTTTTTACTTGGGGACCATATGCCGCTTTTCATGGAATGGCACTTACGTGTCACATTGAAAGTTCCATGATAACCGTCATATGAACACATCTGCGGATGTTTCAAAATTCAAAATTGTACCAGTTCGTGTTAAATGTTGAATTCTGCTTAAGCCGGTGCTAGGGGGCGTGGACGATAACTTGCACTTTCCAGTACCGTCCATGAACAGGCTCAATCAAGCCGAGCCTGCAACATTTTCAATTTTGTTGTGTTGGGCTTTTTTTAGGGATTCTGCTTCACTCTATTTTATATAGCATCTTTAGGTAAGTAACTTTAAACTTAAGATGTTGGAACATTTCACTCTAATTTATCTAGGTTTTGAATAAAAGTAGAAAATTGTGCTTCCAACAGTTTATAGCCTTCACATACTGTGCGGTCCAGTCAGACTTACTTTGAGATTATCAACCTTGAAATAATTTAAGTAGCGTACATAAACAGTTTTGTTACAATAATTGAAAATACGTGTATATTCCAATGTTGTTATATTAAATTAATATCTGGTTAAAGTGCTGGTATGTTTAATGTGGTCATTAATTATATATTGTAACAGCACATGAAAATGATTTTAATTCTGTAACATAAATTATTTACAGGATTATAAATTTAACGACCGTTTAAATAAAGCAATATTAATTGGAAAATATAAATCAGAAACAAAAAATGTTAGAAATATCAATGCTTTGCGTACATTTAGTTTAAATCTTACATGTTTCTTGTTGGTATGCAACAAAACATTTACAAATATTGTTCCATGATGAATATGGTCTCCTGAAGAAATAGTAATACGTGTTTATCTATTGAGATAAAATACGAAACAAAGAAATACGAAATATTGACGAAATAAAATGTTTATTTTTATTTTATTTTCAGTATTTTCACTATAAAAATAAACATTTTTCACTGCAGTAACACATATTTCTTCTTTTTGCTGATGCCTGCTGAACTATTTCTTCTACATTCAACCACTATTCGAAATTTACCGCCGCTTATGAATTTTATTTTTCATACCCTTCATTTAAATAAATCCTGTATTTATAGAAAAAAAACTTGAATAGCCTCTATATATTTATGAACTCATATCAAAATAACAAATCCCAACAGGTTCAGAAGTCTCTTGGTGTTATGTAGTCCGGATTTGAAATAGGAGACGGTCTCATTCTAGCTCGAGGAATGTGAAATTGTCCATCACCCTACAATAAAAACAACAGTTGAATTTTCAAACAATTTGATGACAAACAATTTCGTTGAATTTATACCCCCCCCGAGTACTGGTTATTACTAACACAAAAACTTTTAGACACAAGGGTTTTAAATAAAAATATTTTTTCAGGGCGTAAACATAATTTCTTTTTTACATAATAAATTTTAAAGGGCAAAAAAACAGGGGAAATTAAATTACCAGTGTTAATTATTAATATCGGGGCCCATGGAAAATTAAGATTTTAAATTCCCCTTATTACCTAGGGTTTCCCGATAAATTTTTTTTTGACATCAATCCCAGCATTTTTCCCCAAAAAAAATTTGAAATATTGCTCTAAAATCCCATTTTTGCATAACAATCAAGGCCCATAGAGTTTAAGGGCCTGACCAGAACAAGCCCACGATATGCGCATCTCCTTTTGATATTGACGATTTCCATAAAGTTTAGTTTAATTCCAGCCAGTAGTTGCAGAGAAGAAGTGCAGAAACAATTATTGCTCTATATGCATACTGCATAATTAATCAAGGGCCATAACTATGAGTTGAAGTGAATGACCGGAACAAGGCGACGATATGCACATCTTTTCTTGGTCTTTAAAGAACATTAGAAAACTATTTTCCTTATCTTTTTAAAAGACATTTAAGAGCTTGGATTGTAACGCTTGCTAATTAAAACAAATAAATGTAAATTATGAAACATTAGAATTTTCAAAACATATTATAATAAAGATAGCATCCGTGGATTTTAGCTACTTTAAAAGCTTCTTAAACGCTGTTATTTCTATATCTTTTAAGGGACATTACAGAACTTAAAATTTAAAAGTTATGATTTAAAAGAAGAATGTAAAAAGTATGAAACGCATATTCGTCGCCTTTGTGCAATAACAAAATAAGTCCTTTTAAATTTAAAAGCATTTAATCAGTTTTTGCACTAAGGTGACGTTTTTATGATTCATAAACCATATTAAACATAAAGCGTAAAAACGTATACGTATAAAAATATTTTTGTCATATTGGTGTTGCTTTGGTATTGAGTTTTTACTCAACAATGATGGATTTTTACTTCATATACTTTATAATTTGAAAAATTTTTTATTTATTTTTAAAAATTTTTTGGGTTTTAAAAAAAGACTGGGAAATTTTAAAAAAAACAATTGTAAAATTTTATCTTACTTAAGAGTCGCTTCCAGGGACAATGGTGAAATCAATGAAGCTATGATTTTCAAGTACATATACATATTAGAAATTGGTATCTATCTTATCTTCAATTGTCGCCACTATCAATAAACATGGTAAAGAAGAGGAACACACTTATGCAATAAGATGAAAATCATCATCATTATCATTAAAATGTTAATCTTTCCATTTCGAGCTTACAATCTATAAAGTCTCTACACTCAGACGAATTCGTAAAGGTCCAGTCTATATCGTTTTTTCTGGTAACAATCAGCAAAATTTGAAAATTTGCATGTGTAATTTCAGTGTCATTATGAAGTATCCTACATGAAAACATCGTGTTTTTACAGCGAAGGTTACTGTCGTGGAACTTGAATCCCATTTATATATATTTGCATGTGCAAAATGGTAGTAAATTATTTTCAATATAAAATTGAACCATGTACATGTCCTAACTAAAATATCATACAATATGACTAGGATGAATGTT